ATTCTGGGGGGGTGGGGGGGGGTGGAATGGGGAAGGGAAATACAGCAAGGGCAGAAAAATCTGTGATTACCAAGAAGGGGCTGAATTAGTCAAATGTGGGGGAATTTTAGGGTGGTGAAACTATTCTGTTTGATACTCTAATTGTATACACACGACACAGTGCCTTTGTCAAAATCCACTGATGTTTCCAGCATAAAGAATGAACTTTCATGTTTGCAAATTTTGAAAAAAAAATCATTTAGGAGGTCCAGGGGTTCCCAAGTGAATGCAGAATATGACCCAAAAAAAAAAAATCTAATTGTATTACAAAGGTATGAAATGAGAGTGAAGGGTATATAGGAAAAGGGTTTGACTTAAGTAACTGTGGAAATGAACAGAGTCTTTAGGAAGAAAGGTCAAAAAAACGTGCTTACCTACTATACTCCACAGAGTCCACTGCTAACAACTCTGATACATTTCTGGAATACTAGAAACCAACAATTAAGAAAAAGGATGATGGAAGGTGACAGCCAGGTTCCTAACTGAGACAGTCATTTCCTAGGCAGGTCAATAAGAAGTCCAGGGGTCCCCAAGGAGAGAGGGGTCTGGAATTCTCAAGGAGGAAGAAAGGACAAGCTTTTTTTCCTCTACATTCCTTAGGATTATATAACAATAATGTATCCTGTCTGAGGACAGTCTCTGGATTAAACCTTCTGGCTAATCCTTTTATCTTAAAATGTAAATTATAGGAGTAGGTCTGGTCTTTACAAGGATTATATAACAATAATGTATCCTGCCTGAGGACAGTCTCTGGATTAAACCTCCTGGCTAATCCTGTTATCTTAAAATGTAAATTATGGGAGTAGGTCTGGTCTTTACAAGGATTATATAACAATAATGTATCCTGCCTGAGGACAGTCTCTGGATTAAACCTTCTGGCTAATTCTGTTATCTTAAAATGTAAATTATGGGAGTATTAAACCTGGCTAATCCTGTTATCTTAAAATGTAAATTATGGGAGTAGGCCTGGTGAGGTCTTTATAACCTCCAGACATTCTTTGGATTCACTGGAGAGTATATAACTCCACTGCTAACACTAGCAAGTGGGTGGTCTTTCTATCCCCTTCTGATGTCTATGTCCGAAGCTTTCTCTATCTCCTTTATACTTTAATAAAACTTTATTACACAAAAGCTCTGAGCGATCGTCTCTGGCCCCAGATTGAATTCTTCTCCTCTGGAAGCCAAGAATCCCGGTGTCTTTTCGTGGATTCAGCAACAAACTTTCACTAACTGGAGTGGGAGTTTACAGGTAAGCAAGGCAAAGAGCCAAGAAATACGGTAATTAGGACTTCCTTGATGGACCAGTGGTTAAGAATCCACCTGCCAGTGGAGGGGACAGGGTCTGATCCTTGCTCTGGGGAGATCCCGTCTGCTGTGAGGCAACTAGGCCCCTGTGCCAACAGCTGCTGAAGCCCGTGCGCCTGGAGGCTGAGCCCCAGAACGAGAGAGGCCACCGCGGCGAGAAGCCCGCGCACGCCACCCGAGAGTGGAGCCTTGCTCTCCCACCTGGAGAAAGCCCGCGTGCAGCGACGGCGATCACTGCCGCCAAATTAAAGATGCAGCACTTAAGAGTCAGAGACACAGGTATGAGTGACGTTTAGTCAACCACAGATACAGACGGCTACATACAGAAACACTTACTGATGTGTGTATATGCAAAGGTTTGTGTGTGTATATACATAGATTTCCTTGCTCTGTTAGCAGAGACGACCCAGAAGCCAGGAGCACACACCCAGCACCCAGGTCTTGGTTTCTACCAACCTCCAGTAAAAGGAACTGGGACTCTTGGGAAAAATGGCTGATTCTAGATCTGAAGCAGGAAATATATAAGATGATCCTAGAGCACCTTGTAGTGGCTGAAAAGTTTAAAAAGTGCTCAAAAAAAAAAAGAGAAAAAAAGAAAAAGTCC